ATGTGTATATATAATACATACACACACACACACACACACACACACACACATATATATATATATATATATATATATATATATATATATATATATATATATATATATATGTGTGTGTGTGTGTGTGTGTGTATGTGTATGTGTGCATATATATATTTTTTACCATTGCTTTGTTTGCTTTGCCCGGGGGCCCATCATCTGTGTACAGGTAATGTGGTCCACGGGACGTGCAGTGGTTCATTTCACTTCAGGAAAATTTTAACTCGTTCAATAATGAACAAAGTCAACACAGTCATACGAATGAATCTGGGACTCGATCCGAGACACTTAGTTTCAGACAAAGCCCGGTCCTGTTAATTAGGACCAAGTCCTGGAGTTAGAGTTGTGGGAAAACCTCTCACAACTCGACCACCAAGCCATACCATTCTTATACAAATACTACATGCTATTTTTTTTTTTTTTTTCTTTTTAAGACAAATGCAATATAGATCTGCTTTTTTCGATTCGTGGGGGAGGAAGGGGCTCGCCCATGAGCATGCTAATAGTAATAATAATAGTAATAATAATAATAGCAATAATAATAATAATGATAGCTGATAATAACAATAATAACAATAATAGTAATAGCAATAATAACAGCAAAATGATAATAATAGAAATAATAATAATAATAATAGTAATAAAAAAATAATTAAAATAATGAATAAACAATCCCGACCTGATGATGACACATATTCCCTATCATCAGGGACCTTTCCTATTTTGGAGAGAAAAAGAAATAAAGACATAAAAAGAGGGTGACAGACTGGCAGAGAGACTGTAAGAGAGAAAAAGAGAAAGAGCTAAGGAGAGAGAGAGAGAAAGAGAAAGTTACAGAAAGATGATGGGGAATATTTTGCAGTGTAATAACAATAATGATAATAAAGAGCATAACAATGGTAGTAATAGTAAAGAGAATAATAGTAATGATAATAATTAGCATGCCCAGGGGCGTACCCCCAAGCAAATAATAAAAAAAAACTTTATCGCCCCCTCTCCGACTCACCTACACCCCACCCCCATCCTACCACCACAAAATCAACCAACTCACACCTGAACAGCTGCAGAACTGACGAATGGATAAAAAATAAAATTTGGGCGTGTTGCCAAAATGCACAGAAGGCGCCGACCCCAAGAAAACATACAGCTTTCAAACGAGTGGTCAACCATCTCTCTATTTACGTTTGCTGGAGATATTTTGTTGCTAAATTTGTTGTACTGCCATATGTATGTATGTATGTCCCAATAAACCATCTCGGCTATTTCCCTTCTTGCTTGTTCTCGGAACTACCCCCCCTCCCCTTTTCTAGAACCCTCAAAACACACGAATTGGCATAAACGTGTATCATTGCTTCAATGGCTTCTTGGCTTTTCCTTGGTATAGTGCTTTTTTGGAGTTTATGAATTAGGTAGTTGGATTTGGGGGAAGTTCTTGGATCTGACTTTTCGTATGATTTTGCTATATAGCTATTGTTTGGAAGTGGATATGAGTTAGGTTGAGTTGATTTGAGTTTGGGTGAATTTCATGGGGAAGGGGGAAGGAGGTTTGGGTTATGGGTCCCCGGGGCACTGTATATATATATATATATATATATATATATATATATATATATATATATATATATATATATATATATATATATACATACATACATATATATATATACATATACACGTATATGTATATGTAAAATAATCTTTGCTAGTTTCTTTTTGGGAAGAAATAGTCCCTAACCACATCGCCCAACATATCTGACCTTCCGCACATCCGGCGCAGATCCCCTACAACCTGACCGTCGGGATTCCCAGCACGTACTACGATGACTTGTCGATCGTCCAGTCGATCGGAGGCAGAGTCACCATCCCGCGAATCTTTCTTCGTAGACTCGACAAACAAGAGGTACGCACGTCTTTGTAAAGGAAAGATGGGGAAGATTTGACCGTTTTTTTATGTTGCCTTCGGCTGCAGGTCTCAAAATGTTTCAAACGAGTCTTCATTTGATTTTAGTTCTTTTGAAAAATGGAAAATTAATTAACATAACTTCTCTCTTTTTCTCTTTCTGTATATATATATATATATATATATATATATATATATATATATATATATATATATATATATATATATATACATATACTATATATTTATACTCATGTATAAATACGTTATGTATTTATGTGTATACATATATATATATATATATATATATATACATATATATATATATATATATATATATATGTATGTATGTATATACATATGTATATATATACATGTTTACATTTATCGTAAGGGTCAGCAGCTTTACAAAATAATTGTGTTCGGAGAGCTGTGATTGATATGTCCACACATTCATCGGAAATACGTTTTGATGCTTATTCTGTCCTCTTAATGCTGTTATGTATCAAATCATTTATAATTAGCATGAATCTCATTAAAAAAAACACACATTAAACGAATATGCGGGTGAAAGTACTGCTGTCTAACAACTACTAAGATTTTGAGCTAATAAATCAAAGCCTCTTACTTAATGAGAAGTTTCCCTCGTAACTCCATGACAGCAGATGGAAAACACCGAGAGAAAGGATTCATAGAATTCACTGGTGGTAACAAGGGTACAATCAAAATTCGTGATTGGCAGCTTTTAAATATATATACTTAAAATATGAACAAATAAACGTTTTTCAATTAACTATACAGTTTCTTATAGGTTTGGTCAAAGGCTATATATATATATATATATATATATATATTATATATATATATATATATATATATATATATATATATATATATAGTCTGGGTTTGCTTCTCTGCTAATGTAGTATTCAACCTCTGGCCAGCGAACCGAAGGGAGTCCGCAACCTAGTTCCACTTGTTCCAACGGGTGCGCAGAATGAGAATCCACACACACATTCAAACACAATACGTGTAACATCAATTTTAACATTTCATCAATTTTAACATTTCCACATTTTTCCAACCTTACGTGGATGACAGCACACCATAGTCATTGCATAAATAAAAGAAAACGAGTAAAAGGGAGAATGGAACTAAAAGAGATTTTAAAACGCCTTATGCTGTTTCGTCGTTTTCTTCCTGGACACAAAACGAGTAGTTGACCACATCACACCATATTTTTCTTAACATATGCATCGTCTTCCCAAATAGAAGCCATGGGAATGCATGATGTATAGTAGAAGGCAACAGGGAGGGAAAAATGTGTGGACAGTGCTGTGGTTGTGTAAGAAGCAACATTTTCATAAGAAGGTCAGGTACATTGAGCGCAATCGAATGTGGGCTGTAGCAGTCTACTAATCCAAGTATGTAACGAAAACAAATATATATTGAATTAAAGCTATGAAAGGTATTTCGGGTACAGAAAGTTTTCTTTGAAGAGTGGATGTTATTGCTGAGAACCTGAATTTTGTGCAGTATACAGGCAACGTTATAAACCCAGCGGTATTGTGTATTTAGAAATGTATGGTATTCTAGACTGCTACAGTTATTAGCTTGTTAAGTTCAGTCTGAAACACCACGTCATAAAAGGCTAGCTCAACCTCCCTTAAAACCTTTCCTCAAATTTTGCGATAACTGGAAAGAGACACTTTAAGGCTCCCTTAAAATGCCTTGCAATATGGGCGTTAGGCTTACAGTGGAATGATGAGATATATGAGTGTGTGTGTGTAAAGAAATGGCGAGAGACAAAGACCATAGCACACATCCACAGGAAGAATTGCCATAATGAAAAACCTACATGCAGATGTTGACGTTGGCCGGGTGTGGCGAGGTGCCTGGCGAAGACCTTGGCAACGGTGTATGGCAGGTCATAGGGGGAGGAAATGTAAAGATTGGTACCATCACTAGCACTAGCAACTTCTCAGAATATCTTGTTAGTGACACCAACGCCGCAAATGGGTTAGTGGTCTCGTTTTTTTTTTTTTTTTTTTTTTTTTTTTTTTTTTTTTTGTATATGTGATGCAAAATTATATAGTTTCGTAGAATCAAAGTGATATACTATAGCAATTTGTTGTTCATTTCGTGTTATTTAATACCTTCTTTATTGCTAATCAATCATTCAGGTTCTTAGAAGTCGCAGAGATACAGGAAGAAGACCTGTGTATTCCCCGCAGAGAAAATAAATATATAATGATGGGGTATGCCTATCTGAACTACTACGAGGCACGGGATTATTGCATCGCCTACGGTGGGAACTTGCCCAACGTATCCGAATCTTCAACTTGGGACTTTTTCGTAAAGGTGACCAATATTTTACTTTAGCGATTAAATGCTCCTTAAGTATTTTGTTTAATCTTCAGAATCTATATCTGCCTACATTCATACGTGCATATACATACGCTCACATAGTCAGAGGATATATACACCTATGGTTCATACTTTTCAGGTCTCAATGCAGAACTACACCAGTTTGCTGTCTGTTTGGGCGAATGACTGTTTCAGATTTATGGCTTATGAAGGCAACTACGATATCATGCCATACCGGTGTTTGGATGATTTAAAAGCATTAGCATGTGAAGTAAGTTTGAGCAATTGTTAAAAGACTAATCTCGAGAATTCGTTTCAGTTGAGAAAACAATTAGGTACATAAATGGAAGACTCGGCGGGATATTACATAACTATCAAGAGCGTATGTCTAATGATATAAGTGAGGAGGAATATGTACGCTCTAAGCATACAGTAAGGAACCCTTCTCATTCGACAAATCATGAGCGAGTACTTTTTCCTCCTTTTCTGCAGGTGCCGAAGACCCAAAGATTTGAAATCCGTGCGGACAATGATGCGGAGGAAGAAGCCTTTTACCTTCTCCCCTACAGTTTCAAACCTGCATTTCTTGCTTTGTCTGGAAGGCAGATACAGACAGACGGGAATTTACTTACCCTCCTCGATTCAGATGGCCAGAAGGTGGCTTCTGCAGTTAACAATGGATTACAACCTGTAGGGCGTTTCGAATGGAAATATGAGAATGAAGAAAAGAGGGTCTTTACCTTCACTGCTTGCTCAAAGGTTGGTTCTGTGCGTACGTTAACAGAAAATCATATGATTTGTAAAACTATTTACATGTAATCAAAACACTTTTTTTTTCTCATAATAGGACGAATTTACATGCAGCAACGGGTTGTGCATTGATCTGAACAAACGCTGCAACGGAATAGAAGAATGTTCCGACGGCAGCGATGAGGAGTGCTCTATCTTGCTGCCCCTGCCAGCCACATACCGCAAAGAGCGTCCTCATAAGTTTTTCACGGATCTTAACCTCACTGTGGCCGCGATGGATGTCCTTGAGGTCGATGTCTATGAGAATGTAATCAGGGTTAATACCGAGGTAAGGAACAGCACCATTCCCAGTATGAGTATTCATTTCGATTCAGAACTACTCAAAACTGCACGTTAACCGGATCGTAAAAGCACGTCTTTCCCGGACAGTTTCGCACTAGCTGGCGCGACGGGAGAATCCACCTGTCCCAGATAAGCGCGACGGCCTCAGAAAATGTCATCGATGCCGCCGACATTTGGGTGCCGTCCATGGAACTCAACAACGCCGTCTTCAAGGACATTCTCTCTCACTTAAGGAGAAGCGAAGTGAGGGACGTCGTCTTGGCTCATCGAGAAACGTCTGGTACTATACTAACACAAGAGGGGTTGGAAGGTAAGTACAGGATGGAAATGTGGATCTATTATTAGGTTTAAAGGTACACGGTCTTCGTCCTTTTATTCATCTAAAAGATATAATATAACAGGTTTCAAAAAGTAATACGAAAGTGTTAAAATAAGTGTTTGTTTAAAGCTATTGGTCTTGTATAATTATTACTATTAAAGTATACTCTGGACCCTTGCTGAATCAAACCATTACGTGAACCTTCATATAAAAACTGAAACAGGTATATAGATTTATCAAAAATACAAACACATGCAGGAGATACGTGCAGAAAGAGTTATAAAGAAATGAATTAAGCCAAACGCACGCAGGATATACGTACAACGCGAACCAGGATGCCTTCTTGGAGTTGGTCGAAATCTTCGAGGCTTCGTACAAGTGCCACTTCGAGCTCGGTCTCTTCCCCTTCGACGTCCACGTGTGTTCAGTTAACATTTCGCTTCGGCAGTTTAGCAGATCCTTCAAGGCCGTTTTTCGCGATATTGTGAGTTTCCTTTGCAAATATTTGTTTTTATTGTTACTCATATTATATTTCTCACTATTTCTCACTTTTTGCGTTTTTGTAAGATCCCCCAAAAGTTGGGAAATGTCGGTTGGAATTCTAGATTTTAATATGATTAAGCATGTACTTATTAGACGTACACACACACGCGTGCGCACGCGCTGCATGAAATATGTATGTGTGAATATGTACACAACTATTAAATCTACATATATAAGCCTACATTTATTCATAAATACGGTCACTCATACATGCACACACATATACATATACAGAATAAATATCATAAATATGAATAAATCTAAGCAATCTCGGACTGAAAAACGCGATTAAGAGGGTTTTGGTGTCACGTCCAGGACGTGTCGACGGCGCCCAAGTCCAAGAAGCTCCCCTTGATCACGCCGTCTAAGTTCTGCTACATCCCTCACGCTGATGACAACGGTGACATCACAAAAGTTACGTTTCAGGTAAGACAAATTGATTACATTTATATACATATATATATGTATATAAACGTACAGAGAGAGAGAGAGGGGGGCAAAGAGAGTGAGAGAGAGAGAGAGAGAAAGAGTGGGACAGTGAAAAGTCCTGAAACGTGTATCTTTCCAACTATGAGAAAGAACTTCGTGATAAACAGCATGGGCTCAGCCTCCCATCGAAAATGACTGGACGCTCAATGGAGATTGTGGACTAGGTTTCGGAATAGCGTCCTGGAGTCATGTTCACTTGGTGGCTCATGGATTTCCCCATATGTTCAAGAATTCTGTGCTTGAACCAACGTGACGTTGATCCAATGCACCTAGTGTTGCAGCTAGGACAAGTAAACATATAAATAATGCTTGAGCATAATTCAGAGGAAAACGACTCTCTTTTCTTTAGAAAAGTGTAGATAGAGGCAAAGAGAGTGAGAGAGACAGAAATAGAGAGAGAATGAGGGAGGGTTAGTGAATGATGAACAGATGAACTTACCGATCTCAACCCACAGGTTCTCCTCAGAAGACGTTATGCTTCTTACGTCTTCACGACCTTCAGCCCATGTTTGGTGTTGACCCTTATCGGCTACATGACCCAGTTCTTCAGTCATGAAAACTTCAGGTATCAGTCTGTCTTGTGAAGTTCATTAGTGTGTATATTAAATACATGTGTTTCTTCTTCGTCTTCTTCTTTCTTCTTTAACTTCTTCGTCTACTTTTTCTTCTTCAAATTTTCTTCTTTAACTCCCTCTTCTTCTTCTTCAAATTCTCTTTCGTTTTCTTCTTTAACTTCGTCTTCTTCTTCTTCAAA